GGATCTATACACTAAACTGCTGCTGCATTGGATCTATACACTAAACTGCTGCTGTATTGGATCTATACACTAAACTGCTCCTGTATTGGATCTATACACTATACTGCTGTATGGGATCTATACACTAAACTGCTGCTGTATTGGATCTATACACTATACTGCTGTATGGGATCTATACACTATGCTGCTGTATGGGATCTATACACTATGGTGCTGTATGGGATCTATACACTATGCTGCTGTATGTGATCTATACACTATGCTGCTGTATGGGATCCATGCACTATACTGCTGTATGGGATTCTATACACTATACTGCTGTATGGGATCTATGCACTATGCTGCTGTATGGGATCCATACACTATACTGCTGTATGGGATCTGTACACTATACTGCTGTATGGGATCTATACACTAAACTGCTGCTGTATTGGATCTATACACTAAACTGCTGCAGTATTGGATCTATACACTAAACTGCTGCTGTATTGGATCTATACACTCAGCAGTATAGTGTATAGATCCCATACAGCAGCATAGTGTATAGATCCAATACAGCAGCAGTTTCTGTATGGGATCTATACACTATACTGCTGTATTGGATCTATACACTATGCTGCTGTATTGGATCTATACACTAAACTGCTGCTGTATTGGATCTATACACTAAACTGCTGCTGTATTGGATCTATACACTATACTGCTGTATGGGATCTGTACACTATACTGCTGTATTGGATCTATACACTAAACTGCTGCTTTCCTTCTGTAATCATGCAGTCTAAGTTTTATCTTGATTATAAACAACTGAACTGAGATTTAACAGTTTTTAACTGTGAAACCACTTTAAATATGTGATACTAAAAGGAAGTAAGTGGTACCCAATAAAGAAAAAGACACTTGAAGTTCTTTTTTGATAGGAGTATTTTGTGAAAAAGTTATTGTCAAATAAGGGCATTTGCTGGATAAAATAAATTTTGGGCCAGAATATGACCTACATTTTGAACTGAGCCAATGGTGTCTTTGTCTGAAATACTGACATTTTATTAAACACTTTTCTTAAGTAGAAGAATACTACTGTCTAAATGTGCTCTGCAAACAACTTTCCCTCATCATTGGACATTTCAAATAATTATATTTATTCTATTGGCTTGGTGTAAATAATTACTGTTATTTCATTGGCTGTGTGTAAATAATTACTGTTCTTGTGTTGGATAGGTGGAAATAATTACTGTTATTTCATTGGTTGTGTTTAAATAATTACTGTTCTTGTGTTGGCTAAGTGGAAGTAATTACTCTTATTTAATTGGCTAGGTGGGCTTTATGCTAGATCATCTCATCTCATTTGTTGTTACTGTAACATTGCTTTGACCAGTTTTATATCATACCTTCCAAATAGATTTAACTGTTTTTGCTGATTTAGACCCGAGAACGTCATCTGTTAGGAGATGGGAAACTCAATATGAAGGAAGTATACATTGCTTGGAGAGAATTTATTCGAAGAAAAAGACAGAAAGAAGACAAAAGGTATATTTTTGTTCAATATCAGATCATATAATCACCTAGTTTTTCTATAACTGAGCTGTAGCTAGTGATAGGGCAAATAGAATTTCAGGTTGTATTGACAGAAATATTGAATACAAAGTTAATTAGGCTATAATTTCATTGTATAGGTCACTGGTTAGGCAACATTTGGGGTATTGTGTTCAGTCTTGGGTTCCTTATCTTAAGAAATACATTGAATTGTTGGAAGGGACTCAGAGGAGAGCTGCTAGGATGATACCTAGTAGGGATAGGTTAAGTTCTCTAAGCTTGTTTTCTCTTGAAAAAGATGTGTTAGAAGGATCTGATTGAGGTATTTAAGATTGTTAAGGGAATTGATAGTTTTGATGCATCATCTTTTTATGTATTTAATGTTGTGAATGATAAGACCAGGGGACACACACACAAGTTTTGGAAGAGTAGGAGTCATCTTTAGCTAAAACAGCTTTATTTTTCTAACAGGGTAGTTAGTCTTTGGAATGGGTTACCTTCAGATTTGATAAATGCAGTTTAAAGGACTTTAAGGGAAGGTTTGATAAACATTTGAATGATAAAAGCTGGCATTCAGTTTTTTAGTGTGTAGTTTAATTTAGTCTATAGGAGAGCCTAGATGGACCAAAAGGTCCCTTGTTGTCCTTTAACGTTATAACAGTTTCATTTACATATTAAATTATATGCAACTAAATGTAGATTAGACAGGTACTGTGTTCTTAAAAATGCTGAAGTACTGACATAAATGGTTCATAACTTATTGTTTAAAAATGGTTTGTCTCTTATAATATTTCAAAACATTCAGTGAATTTTTTTGTTCATATAAGTACATCTATGTCGGTCAAAATAACTCGAATTTTTAAACTTTAGATAATATTAAATTCAACATCACCATTTTGGTGTGTGTGTTGTTTTGTCCATTATATTTAAAACATCTCAAATCAACTGTTAAATAGTGAAATTATGTCTAGTTTTGAAATTCAGGGTCTCACTTGAGATTTAATAATCATGTTACAAGATAAAAGATAGCAAAAAATTCCTTCAGAATATTCAGAAATCCCAATTAAAGTAATTTTTCTGGAAAAAGCAGTTGAGTATAAAGCATGATTTTTCAAACTTTTGAGATTTGAGGTATATTTTCACGAAGTATGTAACCATTTTAGTTCAATAAACGTACGTGGTGGTGATTTTATGAGGAGGTCACCTAGATGGGTGCCATATAACTTTAGCATACATCATTTATATTGATGCACCCAGATGATACATCAAATTTAAATATAATATTATAAATTGTTTGCACAGTTTACCCCGGAAGAAGAAAGGTCCACCTTTCAAAAGCACTTGGGTTATACGGTTTTATCATTTTGTATCAAGACTTCTTGAACCTGTGTTTTTTCTGACATCATGAATAAATTATTGATTTGTAGCTAGTAGAGGCAGGAAATAAGATCTTTTACCGAAATTATTTATTGTTAAAAGGGGCACACTTTGGAGCATAAGGATGTAAAATTATGAAGGGAGCTACACACCCCTAAATCCACTAGTAGCTGTAGGTAATCATCAAAGCAAGCTATTTACATAACGGAACTATATATTGCGAACTGTCATGTCTGTCCGAGCATTCACCTGTCTCCTGTTGGAGAAGCTGCACACACAGGCAAAGCTCAACATTTACTTTTGAAATGATGGGAGAACAGACATGAATAACGTTGATGCAAAATTTTATTTAGCAAGCAGGATATTCTACACTAAATTATTAGAAATTAATCATTCACATTTCAAAATGTGACGTAACTTAAAGAATAAAAATGTAGATTTACCACACGTTATTGTTGAGTAACACTTTGCATGACTGAAATGCTCGACAATTACTTTATGCAGTAGCTTATATAAATAGCTCAGAGCTTTAGCTCTGTGTGAAACTAAGAGTACAATACAATTAACCTTTTTAAATTTCATTAAATAATGATTAAAATGCATTGATTTATCATTTGGATACTCTCATTTCATGTGATATTTTCAGCTGTTATCCCAGTAATATCTTTCAAGGTTTGACCAGTGGTTTTAATTAGGCCATACTAAGTTATATGGTAATAAATGACACGTTTTAAAGATAAAATAACATAGAATATAGCATTAAATGATAGAAATTGTGACATACACAACACCAGTATGTATTACATATATTTTGCTGGTAATTTGAGCTGCTTTTAATACGAAAAAATGACTTTCTGTTTGTAGAAAATGACAAACAAATATTTCAAAAATATTTTCTTTATTTCTTTAGTTATATGATCTGTACCATAATCACACGTTCACATCTCTAATACAGTTCATATGTAATTTTCTCGGTAAGCTTGTATTAATTGTTTTGTTTTTACTATTCTTTCTTATGTGGTTAGTTTTTGTCATGTTTTTTAACATATGCACGTCAGTGGTAATACCATTGTAGCATCTTCTGTGAGCAGAACTGAACCTGAGACTGCTTGTAATACAAGTGTATCTGTACGAACTGAGCTAGAAGGTTAACTTACTAGCACTTTTTAAAAGTAGTATTAAACATGAGACCACTCATACTTCAAGCAAGTGTTGAGCTACAGGGTTAACCCAGAAGCTATAATCTGTTATTTTGTATCATATCTCAACTGTTTGATAAGTTTTTTGGTGTACAAAACTTGAAGATAGCTTTTATATGCGGAAACTTCTGTTAGCTGAGTTCTTTCACAGATCTTAAAATATAACGTTGGTAGATATGTAGAT